GTATACCTTCTCCAAATTCATGCTTGCCACACCTGAGTATCTTACAGCCGATCTACAGAGAGATCTCGACGAATTGGAGGCAGAGAGAATCATGCTTCAAAGCATGAATGATGACCTAAGCATCCTTTTCGTCGATGCAGCAGAAAGCAAGGTCCGGACTCAGATAATACTTGCCCAGGAGATGGATACAGAGTTACTTCGACGTGCTGTGGATAAGGCACATAGAGATTTGGCGGACATCCAGCGCAGAGATACCGGAGCCAAGGAAGCTTTGATTAGGGCCATAGAGAAACCTCAAGCTCACTCGAGTGATGATGTTCCCACTGAATTGTTATCCCTCAATCCGCCGAGCGGAAGCGCATCTTTCCCTCGAACCAACACTGCTAGAGTTTTAAAGTCACGCCGCAATCTCAATCCACCGCCACCCTCTTCATCGACATATTACTATTATCAATCTGCATCAGGCAGCCCGATATTTCTGCATCCTCTTGACATTCGAATTCTACTATCGCATTTTAACAGCCATACCTCATTTCCGAATGAAATCACCGTCGAAGTTGAAGCCTTCTCTGAGGGCTCTGTTAATGATGATCTGCGGAAACGTTGCAAATATCTCGCGTTCCCAGACGGTGCAGATGTTGCATTCGTGGAAGCCAATCTGGAATCTGTTGTTGGGACTGAGACCATGAAGAATTTCGAAGGCGCCGTGAAGACACGTCGCATTAAACGGAAAGAGAAGACAAGGAGAGATGATAAGGCCAAGATACGCGCAGAGGAGACAGAGAGAGACCGAATATACGGCCCGGCCCAATGGGGTGATGACGCCTTCAGCTCTTTGAAGATGCCCGACGATTGGTCGTCTACCGGGCCAATTGAAGTCGTGTCAGAGACACAACCGACACAGAACGTTGTTCCGGAAACCCCACAAGGGGCTTGGGGTTCACGCAGTTTTGCCTCAGCGCTGCATTCAACATCATCTGCTCGACCTCCTGCACGAATAGCGAATCGAGAAGAGGTACATGATGATGAATGGGATATAGATACGGCTTGGCATGAGATGCAGCAACGAGGCGGCGGACGCAAGCAAGGTCGAAGTCAGAAGTTAGTCATTCTAGGAGGTGGACCGAATACAGGACGCCGCCGTTAATAGTTGTATCAGTATTTCGGTGTATTGTAGTGTAGCATCATCGGATGGCGGTGAGATACGATAGGGGGAAGTTAGAGATAAACGTATATATAGATTGATAAAGTGAACTTAAAAAAAAAAGTTGGTTGATTTCGACAAATAATAATTTTCATTCAACCTAATTGAAAAATGATCTCAGCCAATTTGCTTCATTTTCCATTTCTTCAAGTGAGCGGGGTTTTCGGTCTTCATCGGCGTCAACTTTCAGAGCCTCGGGCTGTATGTCCTTCGCTAGTTCTATCTCGGCGCGTTCAATGGCCGGATAAATGTTATCATCCGCGCCTTCAAATCTGTCACCCTTGAAACGCCTGGGAAGAATGTGGATGTGTACGTGGGGTATCGATTGCCCTGCCGCTTTACCATCCTGTAGATAGAATATTCACGTAAATGATGGATAAGGAGAGCAAAGACAAACTTGGCAAGCCATAGTTAAGGCATCGGCTTTATACGCGCTCTCGATGGCGTTACCAACCTTCTGGGCGGTCCCGAATAAAGACGATACTTCATCCTGTGTGAGATCTGCCAGTCTTTCTACGGGTCGTGTTGGGATCACCAAGACATCTAGAAATGCATCGTTATCAAAGCTATATCGACGGGGTGACGAGAGGATTCCGTAAGGTGCCTACTCACGCCCGGGAACAATAGGTTTGAGATTTACAATAGCATACGACAACGCAGATCGATAAAATGCTAGATAAATTTGACTTGAATGGTGATAAGGCTTGCTAATGCTGGCTTCACTGACCTTGACGAGTGACATCGATTGTTGAGAACAGCAAAGAGCTCATCTTCCGTGGTCCGGAGAGAACGCGTTGCGAAGGAGCACGGTGGTGCTGGCCGCACAACGGAATGAAATGTAACCTCGATCCACGACGCGTGCCGTCACATGTGACACATGTATAATTTCTCAAGAAAAAGAATACAAGTTAGTGGGCCCATCGATTGCCAGTCACAATAAGTCACTCCGGATCATACAAGGTAGCTAACACGTTTGTTCATGTAGAGTGCTTGCTATCCCAATCACCAATCATAATCTCCAGTAACCATGACCGCCGCGTTCAAACTGGGGCCTCAAGAATAATGTCAGTCCACCACTTCTCACCCTTCTAAATGATATTCCGCGGCTCGGCTGATATTCATGCAACCATTCGCTCGTCATCCACGCACGAGCTGACGACGAGCAAAAATTATCCGACCGCCGCGAGTGTCTGGTTTATCGGACTTGGCCACCTAGGCCACAACTCCCGACCGCCGTGAGTATCTGGCCAATGGGGCTCAGACCACGTAGGCCATAACTCCCCATTACCCCATATATCTTGAGACCAAAAAATATACTTTGACTTGGGCCGCCGACGCTCCACTGCAACATGCAATATGAAAGGGTGTGTGACCGTTTGTGACCTCCAATTACACACCACGATATACGAGTGAGAATGGTCAATGCAGGGATACTGGTTGGATCTAACCTTGCTAAGATGGGAGATAGCCAAAAGGCTTCTGCCTACCGGCGACTACTGTCAATCATAGGCTTAATCTTTACTTTATCTTCCATTAATTAATTAATATGGTTACCACATTGGTGCCATATGATGCAAGATTTTTGTAGTGACAGGCCCCCAGTACCCCTGGAGTGATCGAAATCTTTCACCTGTTTTAGTCTCTCAGTGGCGATTATAAACCTAGGATGAACATTGTTTTCCTCTCACCAGACTTTGCTTTCCTCAGATGCCTTCAATCGACATATTAGAGCGCGATGGTGCTGCTTTCGATAAAGCCTCAGACGCTGTTGACGAGGGTGTGTACACTCCTGTCTTTTTTGACACGTCCCTCCAAATCTTTCTTCGGTCAAGCGATCGGCTTTTAGTTGTCTAATTTTGATGATCCTCTGATCTTGAATCACTGATCTAACTACTTCAATAAACAATACAGTGAACGTCATCAAGGGTCAGCTGTGGAATGAATCATCTCGGTTCGATGCGACGAAAGACAAGACCAAATTCCGCCAGTATGAGGACGCCTGCGATCGTGTAAAGTACATACTTTCCGAATCTCCCACTTCTTATAATATTGACGGGTCTTGACAGGACTTTCTACAAGGAACAGCACGGTCCGTTGCAAATCTCGCTAGCAGCTGTGATGATACTGATAGTATGGCAGAAAAGCAAACTTTCCAATTCAATGTTGCTATGCGTGCCAGCTTCCGCAAACAGAAACGTGCACGGATGAGTGTCTGGGCCGCCATGGATCTCCTCAATACACTTGTCGACGATTCGGATCCAGACACTAGTCTGTCTCAGATAGAGCATCTCCTGCAAACGGCTGAGGCCATCCGCCGAGACGGAAAACCTGAATGGATGCAAGTTGTAGGGCTCGTTCACGATCTTGGAAAGCTGCTCTTCATGTTTGGTTCAGAGTAAGGCGGAAACATACTTTTAAAAAAAAAATATAGCTCTGACGCCTTCTCATCTACAGCGGACAGTGGGATGTCGTCGGGGATACTTTTATCGTCGGCTGCAAATTTCCTGATTCCATCATTTACCCCGAGACGTTTGCCAATAATCCTGACACTCGAGACGAAGTTTATTCAACCGAAAATGGCGTATATGCCCCAGGTTGTGGTCTTGACAATGGCAAGCGTCTCCATTCTCCGTCCGAAAATGCACTGACATTCTGGCGTCTAGTGATGATCTCGTGGGGCCACGATGAAGTATGTGTCTTTAATTTTCGGGACGGCCACGTAGATTGAATGTTCTGGACAGTATCTATATCAAATCTGCAAAGAACAAAGCACGCTTCCCGAGGAAGGGCTTGCCATGATCCGATTTCACAGCTTCTATCCCTGGCACCGTGAAGGAGCTTATCGCCATTTCATGGAAGAAAAGGAGTACGCGTCATTGTATACGCTGCATGATATTACACTGATAACACTTTTCACACAGCTACAAGGCATTGGATGCCGTCCGTGCTTTTAATCCATATGACTTATACAGCAAGAGTGACGAACCGGTTGACCCAGTTAAGCTGAGGCCATATTACGAGAGACTTATCGCCAACTACTTTCCCTCGGAAGTAGACTGGTGATCATCACTATAAACACTTAGACTAGAATTGGGACAAATCACGCTGCACCCCCATAGATGAAGATAGATTAAAGGCTGTGATTCACCGAGGCACCGAAAGCTTGCCTGCCCCTTGCATTTATACCTACTAGACGATCCAATATGTAATAATGGTGTCCGTACTGTTCTCAATTGAATTGACGCTCATGTCTATGGTCCATGACCAGCAAAGGATCGCGTCCAGGCGATCTATTGGTGCCATCGCATTATACAGATCTGGCTCGACATCCAGCTTCCGTTCTTGATGACTTTGTGTCTTTTTCAACCACCCTGCAGTGCTTGCAGGCATAAATCTATGATAGTCCCGACAGAGGCGCCTCTCAGCTCCTCCTGCTGCTCACGCCATTTAATGTTTTGAAAAGCCGTACCTGACCTCTCCCTATCAGCTGACCCCTGTCCGCCAGCTGGCCCTGCTCGCCAGCTAACCCCTGCTGACCCTGTTCATTAACCAGCTGACCCCTTTTCAGCGGCGCTGTTCTTCTATTTTCCGCGGGTGCTTTGCGATGGTTCTCTTGGCGGATAATACCACTATCCTCTGCATATCGTCCACTATGATCTATGAAGCGTCTGATACTAAATAATCACAGATGTTCTTTGCATTACTACTAATAAGTATACTAAATAAATATAACAATCACCTGAAACCTACAAAAGAAGTTTCTGGTGCTTTATCTGTTAAAGGTATAGAAAAGAATTCACCCAACCTGAGATTGAACCAAGGATCTCCTGGATAAAATATATGCCAGTACTCTAATCACTGAGCTACTGGACCTCATGGTCTAGTGTTATATGATAGATTACATGTATAGCATCAACTGTATCATATGCAAATATAGGTCCTCCCTGGCTCTTTGTTGACCAAACTTGTCCACTAACACATATTGTATTTCCAATTCTAACATTATCTTGCTTCCCTGAATGTCATAAAATTTGTCAAAAACTTAATGGATCTGTGTCGGAGTTATCCAATATATCGCGGCCGACCTTCTTTCTTGGTCCCCGGTCACGAACGAGCTTTTCTCAGCTGCCCTCGTCATCTTGCGGTGGGACGGAACTCCAGGTATGAGGGTAAGATCCGGCGGCCACGCGATATCCACATGATGCACCCTCTTTATCTCCTTCCTGAACATCGTCACATAATTCTGCACCGATTGTCATTTTTTGCCTTTGAAGTAAATTCTTCAGAAAATATTTAAACGATAAGCAATTATATGTATGTCTTCTTAAGTCACAAGTGTTGAAGTTTTTGTGGTGCTGTTCCTTAGACCGTATAACTTTCTGTTTGTCTGAGGTGACGGTACTCGTAAACGGATGAAGATATCTCATCCATATATAGTAACTGCTTATCAATATCTCCGTATGGTACGGGTGCAGCTACCTTACCGAATTCCCAGAATTCAACAATGAGTTGAGAAGCTGGACGTGACCGGGAACATGGGGCGACAATGTTTTCGATATTCTTTTTTTTTCCGATGGGGTCTTCCTTGTGATAGTTGGCATTAACTTTTGTGCTCCCCAAATTTAAGATGACATGTCTTAGTTCGATCCTGCCTTAAATCTGAACAGACTTCGGGTTAATTTGTTGTAATCCGCTTGAGAAGGGGCGAAAATTTGAAATATGTTGCTGACACACTTCTCAGCACTGGCAAACTAAGAGCGATTGTTTTCAGCAAGAGCAAGCTTTCTTCTGGGTAGTGATTCGTCCTCAGGAGGGTAATTCCTGGAGGACGGAGTCATTCAATATTTCGGTGTCACATAAAACAAAGTAAACGGCAGCTAACAGTCACATTAACCAAAAACTGGTACAGATTCACTGTTTAGAGACCTAATATCCGAAGGATGGGGTAGCCTTGCCTTACTGAGCCTGCCCCATAAGAAAGGAATTATTCCCCTTCTCCTTTCCATATTCTGTATTATCTACCTCCAGCCCTGATTTAATTCCTTTGTGATATCCAAAATAAATACCGCTCTAGCCACTGGACTGTAACTTTGCATAGTATAGAATTCTATTACATTTTGCCGAGCCTGGCCACTCCTGGGTGGCGTTCAGACTCCCGGGTTTAGCCGCCCAGATAGGTCACCCAGTATTTTCCAGAGTGACTGTCACCTATCTCTGTCCATTTCGCAGAGCCAATCAAAAATAAAAATTTTACAGTGCTCATTCAATTGGAATCCAAGAGCTGAATGCTATTAGCAAGCCGCTGGATCCCCACAATATTATCCATATTCACCAATGACTTCCATTTCCTCAAACAAAAGGCGTTGATTATGCCTGACACTTCGATGAGGAATCATGTGCTTTTCGAGCGGACTGAAAGTGAACGTGACTGTATTGAACGTATAAAACACGTTTTTACGGAATGCCGTCGTGAGTTACCAAATGGAAAAATCAGGCCAAAAAAGGGATGTATGGATCTATTGGCTAAAGTCATAACGAGTCAGACGAGATGAACCATTGAATCTGTTTCTCTTTATTTCTGTGCTCATTAGATTACTGTAACAAAGGGGAACTCGAATGGAGGGATTTCGCACCGTAGGTGTTGCTTGATGACTCTGGAAAATGGTTACACGAGATTACGATATCGTATAGGCGACGTGAGGATTAATATACAAAGGCTGGTCCGACCTCCTTATATTCCGCGTGCAATCTGCAACGGGGTATATAAGGTTATACTAGTAGGACGAATATTTCACACTTGATCATTTTTAAGATGATTAGATATGGTATCCAGATGTAGTACATGCCTCAGAATCAACAAGTATTCGTGTTTCTCAAAACAGCCGTTCAAGCAACAATACAAGTATCCTTTTTCACCTTTCCATCAGGCTTATGTTTCGTTGCTTTAGGTGATGGAGCTCCCTCATCGCCTTGATGGCCGATTTTCGTAGCTATTTCAACATCCTCGGAAGAGCTTGTTCGCTCAAGTTCAGCAGCATCAAGTTCTTCTACCATCGCTTCGGCCCCTTCCAAATTCTCCTCGGGTAGGGCATTCACGATCTTTGCCAGACCCAGGCTCGCCAGGCGGAGCAAGGCGTCAGCGTGTGGTATCCCTTGAGATTTGGCAAACTTCGAAACCCCCGTAATCACGATAGGATTCTTGAGTGCCTTGTCCAATATCACGATGACATCTCGGCTATTACTCAACACTGATGATTTGATATACTGTTAGGAGTGCTATAGCATCGAGGTGTATGTTCATACCTGATTTACGGATCTTGGGCCCAAACTCAGCATTTAACTGCTTTAACTGCTCCTGAGCCCTGTCCAAGGAACTCGAGACAACCAGAATAACATTATCGCTAGGCCTCGATCACTATGATAATGGAAGAGATCACCAGGCCATACGCACCCAGCAGCCTTTAAGACTTCAGCAGTCTTTACGGTATCTACTTTGCCGGTTCTCAACTTCTCATCCACAATGACCACGATATCCTGCGAGCTAATGGAAACACTCGTGCGTATTTCCTCCGCCACCTTTACAAGGTTGGTAGTTCCTTTCCTGAACTGCGTTCCAACTTTGGTTCCAGGTGTCAACGCTTCTCCCATAAGCCTTACAGCCGCAAGTACTCAGCGTAAATATATAGATTAAGAATTTGACTTGTTTACGAACCATATTGGCGAAAGGCCAACCCAAGTTTGTGCGTATGCACCTGTCACGATCACAACGACCATTAGTATCCTAAGGGACTAGTCGTTGAGACATACGTACTGAAGAAATGTTTTGCAGTGTCTTGATTCTTCTTAGAGAAAGCCCTATCTATGAAACTCGAGCGTTTGCCTTTGGATGAAGACGGTGCTGATCCGCTAGGGGGTGATTCCACAAGTTCAGGCCGTTGTGGAGACGGCTGCTTGACATCGGAGGGGGCTTTTGCTGCAGGTTCTTCATTAACTGCTTTAGGTGTCATGGTTTGGTTCGACATTGATGCTTTTGTGACTCCGGAAGCTCACCGTCGTCAATATTGAATGACGGCATACGTAACACGGCGTCACTTCAGCCTTTTGTATGTTTACAATTATCATTTATTACATATAATCGGCATGAGATGGAAGCTAACTCGTCACATAACTCAAAATGACTATGATGCATACCCCTACCAGACAGCCGATGATAATAGTATCTCTCCTTCGGCGGGATTTAATCATGGACAATAAGGAATCGATCCCCGGAAGTGTACCTATGATCAATTCAATCATTATATTCAGATAAAACGGAAGTGACTGACTCAATACGCCACCCATTCTTGCATTTATAGTAGCCAGCGAGGAACGCTGCCTTGAAAACTCATCACGGGTGGCGTACGCTTGACTATATGGAACAGTGATAGATGAGAAATACTCGAAGCTTCTGGGAATACACTCACTCGAGCATATCATCAGTCATACGATGCGAGCTGTCTATTCGTCCTCGTTCGGCTAATAAGGAGTCCGCAGCAGAACGATGATAGGCACTACGGAATGGTTCTCAAGTCAGTTATTTTACTAACGCGACACGCTGCGTACTCGATGTCGTTCCGAACGTTTGTCAGAAGGTTTGCTCGGTCCAACGCTGCTTGCACATTAGTCTGTATGATTTAATAGGTAAGGGGAATGAGCAAAAAATGCTATGAGTCAAATGACATACTTTTGTTCGAGCGAAATCACGAGTGTAATCTCTTAGAACATCCCGATGTCGCTGAACTGTGTGTTGCATGCTTTGCGATGGTGGGGTATTCATATCATTCAGAACCAGTGACATAGAGTCGTTGATCTCATTCAGCTAATAGACTGAAGTTGAGCCATAGTACTGTGGATGTATAGTGAACTCACCTTCTCCAGAATGTCTCCCACCTCAGCCTCAAGGTCTTGCCACCGGTCGGTAGAACCACTTGATTCTATGTCATTCCCACTTTTCGTAATGGTCGATACAACCCGAGAATATGCGGCTAATTTGGTGTCAAGAAGTAGCTCGAGCGTTCTAGCTTGTCGGCGTAGAGAATCATAGGACATGGTTTAGGGCGGCTTTCCCTCACTTACATAATCACATTTGTTGTCCATCTCCCTGTTAGAAGTGCGAAGTCTACAGATGCAATCAGTCTCGAATTCACTCCTTTTGGATTCTCTGTATAAAGTCAGGCTATATCAGGTTGTAATATTGACCTGACTGGCGGATATCCGAGTCTTTAAGTGCTGCAGCGCCAGATACAACTTCGCACTTCCTCGGCTCTTAATTAACCCGCTCTTTCAAGCTTGGTCATTTATTGAGCATTCTGGACCTCCGCTCAGATAGAATGTATTTTGGGTTTTATATGGCCACACTTACATGGTAAACAATGAACTCAACCGTCGCGCGGCTCCCGGCAGTTTTGCTAGCCTCACAATTCGTATCAGATACGTATTAGACGTGGCTGCTTCGAAACATCTGCAGGGTCTAAATCGACATTTCGCGCTTGCTCTGACATGAATCTGCAGATCCTAGGCATTATATGGAGGCCAGCATTCGCTTGATCGGACAAGGACATGTGATACCTTTTGCTACTCTAAATTTGCCATTATTACCACGGTCTTTTCGTTATTCGTGGGTCAATACTTCTTCCTAGCAATCCAATTCTACTTCCATCCAATATGGTACTGGCTCTTACGGCACTCCGACGCTGAGGCCGAGGTGCGTTTTCAGCACGAGGTTGTGTTAGCACAAATACAAAGGCGTATATATTGAGCGCTCGCCCTTCCGCCCTGGGTGTAATATGAAAAATAGTCATACAAATTGCATACACAACTGCCAAATTATTACA